AAAAAAAAAAAAAAAGAAAAGAAAAGCTAGAATTTTAACACAAGAAGCCTGAAAAAAGGAAAAAAGAAAATAGGGATTTAGGGATTGGTAAATAAAATTTTAAAGATATTAAAGAATTAGAAAATATTATCAAATACACTGTGGGGGGTGTAATTACATAAAAGACTAGAAAGGTATAATCCCTGGGAGAGAAGATGATGGCAGACAAAGGATGCCAACAGTATTTCAGAAGATGAGAAAGAGGCCAGGCAGAGTGGCTCATGCCTGTGATCCCAGCACTTTGGGAAGCTGAGATGGGTGGATCACTTGAGGTCAGGAGTTTGAGACTAGCCTGGCCAATGCAATCTCTACTAAAAATACAAAACTTAGCCAGGCATGGTGGTGGGCACCTGTAGTCCCAGATACTCAGGAGGCTGAGGCAGGAGAATCACTTGAATCTGGGAGATCGAGGCTGCAGTGAGCTGAGATCATGCCACTGCTCTCCAGCCTGGATGACAGAGTAAGACCCTGTCTCAAAAAAATAAAAATGAAGATGAGAAAGAGACAGATGGGCCAGATACAGTGGTTCATGCCTGTAATCTCAGCACTCTGGGAGGCCTTGATCCCAGGAGTTTGAGACTAATCTGGGCAACATAATGAGACCCCCATCTCTGTTCTTAAAAAAAAAAAAAAAAAATAGGATATGGGTGCATAATAATTGTCTTAGCACAAAGGAAGAACTAAAAGCCAACCCCAGAAAGGCCCAGAAAGTACAGTCTTGGCAAATTTCAGAAGATAGACATAAGCAATAGGAATGAAAGTTCAAGGAACTGGTTGAAAATGTCTGCAAGGAGTAGTTAAATGCCCAGATTCCTTCACTGACACTGCACAAAACATAATTTTACAACCGGGAGAAAATGGACCAGAAGGCTCCAGATTAGGACAACACACCAAACTGAAGTGAGGATGAGTCCCAGTACCTAAGTGTCCATCATATGGGTTAAATATATTTAACCATCTTAACACATTAACATTTTAGCACAAAACATTTTAAAACCATGCGATCAGGACGTTGTCAATTCATAATGACATGCAGGGCCAGGCACAGTGGCTTATGCCTATAATCCCAGCACTTTGGGAGGCCAAGTCAGGCGGATCACTCAATGTCAGGAGTTTGAGAACAGCCTGGTCAACATGGTGAAACCCTGTCTCTACCAAAAATACAAAAACATTAGCCATGCATGGTGGCACACACCTGTAGTCCCAGCTACTCGGAGGCTAAAGCAGGGGAATTGTCTGAACCCTGGAGTCACAGATTGCAGTGACCCGAGATAGCACCACTGCACTCCAGGCAGGGTGACAAAATGAGACTCCATCTCAAAAAAATAAAAATTTCAAAAAAGTAATGACATGCAACTAAAATCTTGGAAATACTTTCTAAATAATGGATCCTGGGTCAAATTAAAAAACCCATTTGTGATGAACACTAAAATGAGGAATGTATGAACATTCTCCCCAATTTAATTTGTAGATGGAATGCAATCTTGGCCAGGCATGGTGGCGCATGCCTTTAATCCCAGCACTTTGGGAGGTCGAGGTGGGCAGATCACCTGAGGTTGGGATTTCGAGACCAGCCTGATCAACATGGTGAAACCCCATCTTTATTAAAATACAAAAACTAGCCAGGTTCAGTGGCATGCGCCTATAATCCCAGTGACTCAGGGGGCTGAAGCAGGAGAATCCCTTGAGCCCGGGAGGCAGAGGTTGCAGTGAGTCGAGATTTCGCCACTGCACTCCAGCCTGGGTGACAGAGCAAGACTCTGTCTAAAAAAAAAAAAAGAATGCAATCTTATTAAATACCCTAAATCTTGGGTACAGTGTTGCAGTTTGGGATTATGAAAAAGTTCTGAAGATGGATGGTAGTGATGATTGCACAATATACAACTTGCCTCTCAACTGTACACTTCAAAATAGATAAAATGGTCAAAGTTTGCCTTGTCTCTACTTTACCACAATAGTAAGGAAATACTGAAAATTACATTTTTTACTTTAAAAATCAACTTTATTGAGCTATCATATGCATAAAATAAAACATCCCCATGTTTAAGTGTACAGTTTCAGTGGGTTTTAAGAAATGTATACAACCATAAAATAACTGCTAACTCAAGATGCAGAATACATGACACACAATTTGCATCTGATGATAATCTGATAAT